AAATTTGGCTATTTTCTTCAAAAATTGGCCAAACGAGCTTTAATTCATAAAACCCAAGAATCTTGACAAGGGTTGGAATTAGTTGGTTACTAATCAGAAATGGATCGCGCTTCAGAACTTTCACCAAATTTGGAATCATCACCCCATTCTTCTAAACACAAACCGAAAATACAGGGGGCCATGCCGTGGAAATGGTCAAACCACAACTTGGTTCTTGCAATTCAGCTTGTTTTTGTTCTTCGTCTGACCCTTCTGCCAGTAAACTTTCCAGCTCCTCCAAATCTATTTCTAGATTAAATTCTTCATCTTTTAACTCTAGCTCTTGTAACTCAGATTTCACTTGTTCATTATGCAAGATGATATCTAACCATCTTCCAAATTTCTTCAAATCATCATCTGAGTCATACTCCTCATCTTCTTACTCCATTTCCTGTACTACTTCCTCAAGAAACGCATCAAAAGCATTTAGATTTGGAAAATACATAATAAATAATAATAAAAATTAAACTATCAAAAAAACAATCAAAAAATAAAATATAAATTGATAACAATTAGCAAATAAAATTAACTATTTATCATCATTCCCCGGGAACGGCGTCAAAAACTTGATGTGTGTGAAATGCACTAGTTTTAATCCTACTAAATTAGACACAAAATAAACACACGAAAGGCAATGTACCTATCAATTAGTAATATAGTTCAAGCAAGTAGGGTATCGAACACAGGGAACGGTAAACAATTAAAATAAATGCTAATATTATCTAAATAAAACAAGTAGTAAAAGAAAGGGTTTTCTCTAGTTTTGGAAGACTAGAAACTTAAATACTTAACTAATACTCAACTAAGCAACTAACAGCTAAGCAAAAATCAAGTAAATTCAATAATGGAAAAGACTTTCGTTTATGTTTTGAATCAGTTATTCCTATGGTTGATTTTATGACAAGTGCAATAGATTATTTAGCATTGGCTACCGATTAATGTGATTAGGTTCACATTCTCTATTAGTAATCCTTAGAAAACAAATTAATTCAAGCAATGATCAGTTGATTAAACCAATGAATTTCCTAGTTTAATTATTCATGTTAAATAAGACTTGCAATTGGTTAATCAAATTACTAATTCAATTAACCTCTTGTTGATGGTTCTTCACACAAGCTCAGACATTAATATACCCACTTTCTAGTTAATCCTAATTTCACGTTCGCTAATGCAAGGCACATAACTATCTTTTCACATAAATCACATGAGGTAAGCAATTAAGAGATGTTCATGCAGCTTAATTACTTGATAATTAACAGAAAACAGTTATGGTTATTGCCTAAGGTTCTTTAACAAGCTTAATAAAACAAAGTTTCCCAAATTAAATTAATCCAACCACAAAATCAAACCATAATCACAAAATCATCTATCCTAAACAGAAGGTATGAGTTTTAGCTCATGATTACAGCAGTATCAAGCTCAAAAATGAAATAAATTGGTAAAAACATAGTTCAAAAAAGAGATTAGGTAAAGAGTAAACTTGATTTTTCCTTGATTCTCCTTAAATTGAATGTAGGATTGATTCCTTAGCTTCCCACACTCCAGCAGCACCTTTAGTCGACTATTGGCCTCCATGGGTTCATCTATCTACCAGGGTATTGGGCAGTAATGTCCTTTATATAGATTTTCACAAAACATAGGTGACTCGTAGAGTCCAGTGACCGACTTGGTGAGTCTTTCACTTAAACCCCATGTATGGCAAGTCAGCTTCGAGAGTCGCAAACTTTTTGCTCAACTCGTCCAGCCCAACTCGTCGAGTCCTTTTGGAATCAACATTTTCTAAAAACACAAAAGTTGTCCAAATTTGTGTCTATTTTCAAAACATTTTGAATCTCATCAATCGGTGTTACGGTTCATGAGATATGACCAAAAACTGATGAGGGGTAAAGCTTTCCAGCAACATCCTTCTTTCTTCAAAATCCAAGATCCAAGCTTCCAATTGCTAAATCCGCTTCCTTTTCCATCCGAACATTTCATTGTTGCTGAAAAATGATATTATAAACTAAATAAGCACCTTTTGCTCATTAAATGAGATAAAATCAACATAAATTGTTTAGATAATGCATGAATTTGTAACTAAATATGCCTATATCAATTGTGAAGCTTGAAAAGAGGATGGAAGCTTAAGAGTTCGAGTTGCGGCTTGGAGATCTAGAGATTATGTTCCATTTCCAGCTCATTCAAGGTAAAATACCCATGTATTAGTCTTCCATGTGTTATGGAGTTTTGATTTCAGATCTGGGTCATTGGACAGGTCCCATGGCATAAAGGTGTCAACTCTATGGCCAGGAGATCCCCATGCACATTGTAGAACATCTTTTATGGCTTTTTGAGCCAAAGACCCCTTGCATGTGCCCCAATCTTGGAACTTTACGTGTAAAATGGACATTAGGAGGCCAGATCTATGGTGTTGATGTGTTATGACCCATTTAAATTGACTGTATAATAATTATCAAAAATGGACTTGGAGATTTGTTCTTGGGACTTGGCGATTCGAGGTGTAATGACCACCAAATTCTTTCTGTCGATGAACTACTTGATAGTGTGGAAGGTCCCTCAGTTGTTTAGGCTCATAACGGACCTGGGAATCATGGGACTTGACGAGTGTTCGAGGAAACTCGACAAGTCCAAGGCAATCTCCCAATCTTTGAAGATGAACTCAATGAGTTTTTCATACAACTCGGCGAGTCATAGACTGGATGCATTCATATTCTGAAGATGAACTCGGCGAGTTCAAGGAAGAACTCTCCGAGTCGGTTGAAGATTAATTGAAGTGTTGTTGAAGATGAACTCATCGAGCTCTTGCTAGACTTGACGAGTGGGGATGGTTTTGTAGTATGATATGGACAAAGGGACTCGTCGAGTTGGCGGACCAACTCGGCCAGTCTGGTCAGTCAAAGAGTTGACTTGTCCAGGGATTAACTTTGATTTTGACTTGGATTCAAGTTGAGCCTTGTAGGGGTTGTGAGTACTAATTGATAACTTAGCAGGATTGTCATGTAGGGATTGAGGAGTCGGTGAGAGCCGATTTTCACACTGAGGATAGTACAGACATTACACAACATCGAGGTGGGTTACCTTCTAGTATGGGTGGGTCTAAGGCCACAATGTTGTCCCACCAACAAGAGTACTTGATAGATAATTTTCTTTGTGATAATTATCTTGGTTTGCTAATGTGATACGCTTATGAGATATCCTTATGTGATATGCTTATGTGATGTGCTATATGAGTTAGTGGTAGTAAAAGGGAGTAGTTTTTCCCTGACTTAGTTGTTAGGACCGAAAGGTAGGCTAATACCCTAGATATACCTGACCGTATGATTATATTTGTTTTTGTACGATAGAGGTAGGGGTGAAAAAATCCCCGTTGCCAGTTGAGACACACTGGAGGGTAGTCGACACCCTAGAACGACCCGATATGGGTAGGTCAACATCTCAGAATAGCTTGACATGGGTAGGTCAGCACCCCGGAATGGATTGACATGGGTAGGTCGGGCACCTTACAATTGCCCGGTAGTATGCATGTTATGTGATTGTGTGGTATGTGGTATGATGGGGGAACTCAATAAGTTTCGTGCTTACACTTTCATCTTTTGTTTTAGATACCTCTTTGTCTAAAGGGAAAGAGTCGGCGGTGTAGCAGCACATCACACACACATATGTTTTCCGCATGGAGTTTTTGTGGGATTGTACTCTGATTTTCATTACTTTTGATGAGATGGTTTTCAGACATGTTGTTATGTTTTTTTATAAATTTTTATGACATTGACAATGTTTGGTAAACTATGTTATGAATCTCATAATTCAAAAATGAAATTTTTGGCCTCAAAATTTGGGATGTTACATTGATTTTGATGGAATTTTTTCATTTATCACTCTGGCATGGTTAGATATTTGTTTTGATGGTCCTTCTAATGTACCCAAAGGTGGTGCAAAAGAAACTGGACTAGTATCAATAACATTAACATTTGAAACAACACACTCTGGCGCACCAAATGGTTTTCCCAAATAAACTCTATCCTTAATCTTTTTCTTAGTCACCCATTTAGGAGAACTTTGACTTTGAGATGCCTTCTTGGAACCTTGAGAATCTTGACTAAATCCAACACTAAAGCTTGGACAAGAAAAGTTCTCAACTTTCCCTTATGCATTGTCCTTTTTCATTGATTGAGTCTCGTTTGAATCCTTCCATTGTATAATTTGTAAACCTTCTTTAGAAGTTTCTACCAAAAAAAAGTTATAAAAATCATGTATGAATAAACAACAATTATAAACTCAATCATATATGAACAAACAATAATTATAAACTAATTCCCTCCTTATTTATTTTTATTGGAACAATCTTCTATTGCTTTCCCTAAATCTGAATGAACTTCAATACCTTTACCTTTTACAACACCTTCTCCATCCTTCTTTGCTTTATAAATGTCAACTAACACTTTAGAAAAACCTTTCAATAAACTTGGATGAATTAATTTATTGTCTTTCTTCATTTATACAATAACTTTATCAATAGTATGATATGAAATTACTCCTTTCTTATGAGCATCCTCACCCAAATTTACAGTCCCTAAATTATTAAAATCATAAGTGAATCAACTATATAACATATTCATATATATTTTATGTATCAAAAATACATAAATAAATACTTACCATCATCAAATTCATTTTTCTCAAAACCAGTCAAATTATCATTGACATCCTCTTCAACTCGTTTATGATTTATACAACCATCAACCAAAGTTACAATACCTATAAAATTCAAATATAAAAAATTAAAATCATATATAATAAACTATATATAATAAACACATACGCTTAACTTGATCCAAAGTTTTAAGAAAACTTTCAACAACTGGATCGCACATAAATTGGCTAAAAGATACACCTTCTTGGCTATCAATTAGACCAACACTCTTACTAACATTTTCGACAACAGAATTTAAAGTCAGGGCCACTTATTCATTGAATCCACTTCCATTTCCTTGTTCATCGTCTTCATCATCTTTTTCATTCAAAAAATCATTATTTTTACCAATATCGTCCTCATATGTGTGATCATTAACATCACCTTTACCTTTAACATCATTTTTACCAATATTGCCCTCATGTGGACAACTCCCATCCCCCTGAGCACCATAAAATTTCCATTGATCATTATCTTCAACATTTTCATGATCATTTAGAAAATCATTCCCATAATCTTCATCATGATTTAGTTCTGTGATTTTTTCATCATCATTAATTTGGACAAAAGCAGGTGTCAATATTGGTTTCGTTACTTTGTTGTGAAACATAATGGAAATCAAAACTTTATGTGCTTAAATCTTCAACAGGATATAATTATTTCTAATTTTTCAAAATTTAATTTTGAGGAAACTTCAACATTCCCTCATTTATCTTTAAAACAATATCCTTTTTCAAATCCTCCAGAAATTCATAAATGAATACACAAATAAAAACATACATAAAAATAAAATACTCAATTATAAAACATCATAAATGAATGCACTATTAAAATAATAAATGAATAAAACTATAAAATTACCTCCACAACACTAACTTTATTAACATTAAAATCTTCTTCATCCTCATCACATAAATCCTCATCACCATCAAATTCATCCTCATCGCCTCCATATTCCTCCTCATTATACTAGATTCTTGATATTCTTCTTCAACATACGGTTCAGTAACATCTCTACATCCGAATCCTCCATTCTCTTGTAAAATATCCTCAAGAAACATTATCTTCTCTGAAGTCCAATAAAAGTAATTGGACGTTTACGTGTGACTTGAAAATGATCAAACTTGAAATTACCCACATACAACAACTACAAAAAACATATATAACAAATAAGTTAACTTTCCATAAATATTTACTTATATAGTTTAATATATCATTAATCATAATATATATGAATAATCATATATGATTATAATGTGTAATATATAATTAAACAAAAATTATACTATATAACCATATATGATTATACAATCATATATGATTTATACAAATCAAATATATGATTAATCATAATATATATGAATAATCATATATGATTATGTTGTGTGATATATTATTAATCATAATATATATATATATATATATATATATATATATATATATATATATATATATATATATATATATATATATATGAATAATCATATATGATTATGATGTGTAATATATAATTAAACAAAAATTAGACTATATAATCATATATGATTTATACAAATCAAGTATATCATTAGTCATAATATATATGAATAATCTTATATGATTATGTTGTGTGATATATAATTAATCATATATGATTGTACAATCATATACGCTTAAAAATAAAAACAAACATATTTTTACAACTAAAAAGAAGATTTACTATTAAAAATTAGCACACGTGTCATAAGGTATGTTGCTGGTCCATAAAAGAAAGAAGATTCTTTCTCTTTGTTTTAAACCTTCTTTGTTATTAGCAAACAATCAACAATAAAATCACACCAGTCAATGCTACTTCAACCTGTATCTTTTTTTGATTAAATACAATGTATTCAAATAACATTTACCCATGCTTGTAAACTCACATGATTTGTTAATAAATACAACCAAAAAATTGATTCTAAAGTTATCATCCGTCGCACTAGTTTGAACAAGTTCATTCTTTAGTTGTTTCAATCTCAATATTTCCATACTATTTCGTCCAAAAAACAATCTTTAACGTTACGTCAATCATCTTCATCCTTAACAAACTCCCATATCCCATAGCCTTAACACAATCTTTCTGTTCTATACTTAAACCATGAATAACACCCTACAATGACCCGGGTGAACATATGTTCTTTAATGAAGGAAATTCTATTATAACATCAACTTTTTTTATCTTTCTTCACAACTTTGGCTGCTTTCTTTCGTTTCTTTAAACGTCCAAGAAGACTCTGAAAATCATAATCGTCTTCATCAGATAGTTCACGTTTCTTGTTTATAGTTTTGACCCTCTTAAAAGCTAATTTCTTTCCCTTAACAGTCAGGCTCACTTTTGGTTGTTCAATAACTATATTTTTGGATTGCTTTGACCGTGTTTGCGCCACCTCCTTGGCCTTTTTCTTTTTTGGAAGATGATCGTGTTTGCATTGAGCTTTCTAAATTACCTTTTTTAACCACAATTTTTAATAGAAAAAATAGTGTTAGTAAAAAAACATTATACATATAGTCCGTTACAAATGAAGAAACACAATCACTTATGATTGCAAAAATATACCTTTATCATTTTTAACCTTATAATTTTTCCCTAAAATATCTTCACTTTCCTTCCCATATACAGAAACATTTACTACAAAAAAATTTAACATAATTAATAATTAATATATAACAAAAATTCATATGACTAATAAACTATGATTTTAAATCACACAATCACTAATGATTATAAAAACATACATTTATCATTACTATTTACTAATGATTATAAACAAACGTATAAAATCATTTATGGTTAGAACTAGAAAAAAATATATACAACTAAATGTTATGCTTAATCCATTGAAAAATTTACAAAAATGAGTTATGATTACAACAAATACCTTTAACATTTCTTCTCTTTGAAATTTTCTCTTTAAATTCTCCTGAAAGATCTTCATATTCACGTTTGATATATAGAAATAAATAATCACAAAATATGATAATTAATTATGAATAAAAAATAAACTATGATTTTAAATCACACAATCAATAATGATTATAAAAACATGCATTTATCATTACTATTTACTAATGATTATAAACAAACGTATAAAATCATTTATAATTCAAACATAGTTTCTTTTGAAATCATTATCTGTAAAAATATAAACAACTACTTACATAAAAAACCACAACAAACAAACATAATAAAAAACAGATGAAGTGTAAACGAGAAATACATCAAAATCAAGTAACAATGATGAAAAAACTAGTGAATCAAAATAAAAATCGTCATTATCAACATAAAACTACAGTTAACTAATTAAAACGAACATGTATTATCAGTAAAATGAAAAATTACTTGCATTCTAACCTTTCATTCTGATTAACAAAGATGTGACTTCGTTTAGATTTTCTCTTGAAGATATTTACTGATTTTTTAAACGTAATTTTCAGAACTAACAAATGAAAACTAGGGAAAAATGTGATAAAGAAAGAAAAGAGGGTTTTCGTGAAAGTTTCTAAGTGAGGTTTCAATCTAAAAAGAAAAAAGAGTGAAGATGGTTACAGTATCATAGCTTCTGTAAAACTGAAATGATTCTCTGCAAAATTAAAATATTAGCCCTATAATGGTTACTAACGACGTTTTACAAATATATTTACAATTATGTCACTTCCACATTTTACAAATAAAGATCATAACATCAAATGGCTACCTACCTATGTCACAGTCTCTAATTTTTTATTAATCTGAAGAAAACGAGCATATATATATATATATATATATATATATATATATATATATATATATATATATATATATATATATATATATATATATATATATATATATATATATATATATATATATATATATATATATATATATAGTGAGGTTCAATAGTAAATCATAATTAACCAAAGAACCAATCTTTTTTTCAACATTTAGTGCTTGTTTTTTTATTAAAAAAAACCTAAAAATATAGAAATTCATAATTTTTTAACATTTTTCCAATGATATAATATTCAATAAAAAATTTTTGTCAAATTCACAATGTGAATCTGTGTAGATTCACAGTATGAATCTAAATTCACATGGTGAAGTTGAAAAGTATATAATTTAATTTTTATCATTCACAATTTGAAGTTATTAATTTAGAAATTTCTAGTTTTTTTAAGATAAATAAT